AGGCCCCCCCCCCCCCCCCCCCCCCCCCCCCCCAATCGGCAGCTCGGCCTCACCCCGCGTCCTCAAGAACTTGTTCGTTTCCTCGAGCCGCATGCGGTCGGCCGGCCCGCAGCTCCGGTAACCGTGGCCCTCGACGACGCTCGCCGTGCGGCGGCACAGTCCGGCGACTTGGAGAGTGACGGCAGCCTTGTCGACCTCAGCGACGTTTTTGCGGTTCCTACGGCAGCAGCGGCGGCGGCGGCGGCGGGGGGTGGGTCAAGAGGCGGGCGTAGGCGGGCGGCAGGGGGATTGTCCGTCTTGGAGGGGAGGAGGAGGAAGGCGAAGCGGCCGGACGGTCCGATGGCGGGGAGGTACGTGTGTTCGTGTGTACGGTTGGGGTGGGTACGAGTCTGATGCAGCTGTGCGTTGGTGGCGACGATTGTGACCTCCCATTCGCCCGCCCAGCTTCTGGGTCATCCTCGTGACACGTTGTAGCCTAGGCCGACGGAAACCTGGCATTTCGCCCAGTCCCGGCATTGTTGCGATGCGAGGTCAATGGTCTAGCGATTACCGAATGCATTCACGTTAAAACACCCACCCCACTCCCAATCGCCATAGGTTTCAGTTTTTGAACCGGCAACCCCAGCATTCATGTTGTTGATTACTCTGGTGATTGGCCAGCGGTGATCGGTCGTGCGGGAACAGTGCTCCGTTCTCTCGAGGACGCCTGGTCAATGGCCTAACAACTAAGTCATGCAAAACATGAGTTACCCCCCCCCCCCCCCCCATGTCGGGCTTTGTCCAATTTCCAATCGAACCAGAGAGGGAGGAAGCGACTCGCTGCAAGAGGCCTCGCCCCTGCCGGTGACCCCGCAACTCCGGGTTTTCCTTGGCGCCGTGGCTGTGCTCCAGACAGGGACGGTGCTGCACGCAGCAGGGCTAACCGGCAGGGCTCTGGCGGTGTCGGCTGGGGCGGTGTGGGTCTCCGTTGGAGTGGCTGGGTGTGTTTGTGGTGTGGTCGAGGGTGGAAGTCGCGAGGATAGCGGTGGCGGACGTAGTAGGTCGGCGGTCGCAGTCGCTGCCGCCGTGGTTGCTGATTTGGTCAGGGTTGCCGGCGCGGACGGTTCTGCTGCCAGTGCCGACGCCTTAGCTCCGACGGAGGACACCGGGCTGCTTGCATCGACCAAGAAGGGTGAAGCGGCAGGCGGCTGGACGGTGCGTGTTGTCATGGCGAGCGAGGTCACCGCGGTGGTGGTGCTGGTCTTCCTCCTCGTGGAACGGACCGTAAACCACTACGACGATAACAGCGCCTTCCTCTACGCCGAGGCCTTCGAAGCGGAACAGACAGGAGTGGGTTTAGTCGCCGGCCTAGTAGCAGCAGGCGCTCGGTGGACGGCAGTCGCAGCCGCCGCTGGAGCGGCGACCGTGGTAACGGTGGCATTGCCCCCGCTCTTTGCCGCGCTCGCGACGGCACAAGTCGTCAAGACTTTCGCCCCGGCGAGAAACGGTAGCGGTGGCATCGGCAGCGGTCGTTCTTCTCCTGATCCCGCCGCCTCTTTCGCCATGGGCCCGGCGGCGGCGGCGGCGGCGGCCTCCGTGGGTGAAGACACCGCATTACGGCGGTCGTCTTCGTCTTCGTCGGTGAACACCGACGCACAAACTGTCAGCGGTGACCCGAGTTCTAGGCCGGACAGGAGTCCCGAGACTGGCACCGAGGGTGCTACGGGGGGCCCGTTGCTAGGCGGCCGCCGCCGCCGCGATGGACACCGCCTGCCCGTGATTCAACTCTCGGAGGTGTTGCTCCGCTTGGTGGTTGTAGGGGGCGGGTCATTGAGCCTGATGGGGGGCTGTTGGGCGGGTTTCCGGCCGGTGTTGGTGTTTGTTCTTCGGCGGTTGGCGTTGCTCGTGGAGGCATTTTTGCTGTACCTGTTCTCGAGGCCCGGGAGAGGAACGGTGGAGAGCAACAGCAGCGGCGGCGGCGGTGGCAACAGCAGCGGCCGCAGCAGCAGCAGCAGCAGCAACAGCATTAGCGGTCGCAGCGGTGACCGCTCTAAGCCAAAGTCGTCACGTTCGGTCGCCACCGAGAAGCGTGTTTCTTCGGCGGCTACCGCGGGTGTCCAAACGGCGAGCAAGCCGAAAGCCGCTTCGGTGCCTGCACCGATAGCCGTGCCACGACCCAACGACAACGTTGCGGTCCAAAAGCCAATCCTTTCCTTGGTGAAGCCGGCATCCGAACCGGCGGAGAGGGCGGTGTTGATGGAGCCCACCGCAGAGGAGAGAGTAGCGGCGACCTTGAGGGAGAAGTACGGCGCCGCTTCCACGGCCGTGAGAACGAAAGCGGCGAAGTGGAGGTCGGTCGTCCTGGACAAGACAAAGCGCGCGCGCGTCTACCTCGCGAAGAGGATAATGCCGCCGGGGGGCGCAATCGGCGAGGACAAAGACACCACCCTCGGCGTCAGCGGCGGCGGCGGCGGCGGCGGCGGCGGTCGGGGGGGAGAATCAACCACCTCTCAGCCAGTGGTCCTAGTCCGCACGCCTCCGCCTCCTCCCCCTCCCCCTCCTCCTCCTCCTCCTCCTCCTCCTAAGCCGAACGTGGTCGCCTCGATAGCGCCGCCCCCCGTAGACCGGCAGGCTTGCTTACCCTCCGAGGAAGTGGATTGGGAGTGGCAATTTGTTGGACGGACCCCGGGCGAACATGACGGCGGCGGCGGGCTCTCGGGGGGGCGGGGCTGGCTGGCGGTCGTTGATTGCGCCGTCGCCACGGTCTACAGCGGCAGCACGGCTGCGATCGGCGGGGTGTGCGGGAGGCGTTCTCCCGATGGCGGCACCGGTCGCCGAGGAGGAAGCCGCGAGTGTCCGGATAGCGGCGGGCGGCGGCGAGGCAGCGCCGGTGATGATGATGCGGCGGGTAGGGCGGGGGTCCGCACGGCGTTTGTGTCTACCTCGGATGTTGTGTTGTTGTGGGTGGTGGTGCTGGGCGTCTTCGCGGCCGTGAGGCGCGAGTTTTGGCTCGCCAAGTGCAGGAGGTGGAACGCTCTGGCGTTGCTGGTTGTTGGCAAGGCAGTCGTGGCAGGTGAGAGAGCTAGTACCGTACCGTGGTCGTCCCGGTAAACCGCGGTCCCGAGTAATGCGGGTCCCGATACACCGCTTGTCACGGGATTTGTCTACCATACTAAAAGCTAGTATATGTTCCCCAACACTCAATAGTATTATAGTGCGGTGTCCCGATATTTTGCGTTTTTTTTTCCCTTGTCACTGCACCGTGGTACGGTATATCGGGACGATCACTGGTTATAAACCGTATCTGCCTCCAGGGTACATGCCAGCCAACGATTAGGTAGCGCTGACTGGTCCAATGGTTTGGCTTTCGTCTGCCTCGAACAGACAACGTGGATACAAGCAAGCACACCCCGCATTGATGTGGTATCGATGTGTCTGTCCATCGTCGGAACTCCAGAAGCCCTTCCTTCCTTCCTTCCTTCCTTCCTTCCTTCCTTCCTTCCTTCCTTCCTTCCTTCCTTCCTCCCTTCCTTCCTTTCTTTCTTGTCTGGCACTACTCCCTTCTTCCCCCTTCTCTTTTTTGACCATTCTCAGAGAGCTTGATGTCACGGGCCTCGTCTCTCTGCCTGTAGAGTGATTTGAGGAAGTTAACCATGTATCATTTGAGTCTTAACAATTCCAGAAAACCTTGCTGCCTTCTCTCTTTTCCCAGGATCAATCATTGCGGCATCCTCGCTCCGGTTGGGCGGGGGCGGTCCTGCCTGGCTTGTGTGCGCCGTCGAGGCGTGTCGGTCTGTGGCAGTGCTGGCGCTCATCTTTGCCGCGGTTCAGTCAGGCCTCGGGCCTGCTGACGAGAAGGCTTACGCGACAGCGGAGGCACAGCAGCGAACCTTGAGTTCCAGGCGGGGCAGCAGGGTTGGGCGAGGAGGAGGTTCTTCGAAAGTCCGCTCGGTAAGGCGCAGAGTGAAAAGTTGGAGAAGTGTTTGGGTATTTGGGACCGTTAGCTCGATACATGGAACACACGAACACAAAACCTTTCTTGGTCTGTTTTCAGCCGCACTGAGACTGGCATCCTTGCATTGGTAGCGCGGTCGATGCTGATATCATTGACACACACGCACAACCGCCCCGTCCGCTTCCCC